GCCTCGCCGAGATCCTCGTGCTCGTGGGCGGCTGCGACCAGGACTGCGACGAGTTGGTCACCGTCGACTGCTACAACCCGCAGACGGGCCAGTGGCGCTACCTGGCCGAGTTCCCAGACCACCTGGGCGGGGGCTACAGCATCGTGGCGCTTGGCAACGACATCTACGTGACGGGTGAGTGGGCTGGTGGGGAGGACTCCGAGCTGGCCGACCCCGCGGCAGTGGTCTCCGGGGTTGGCCTCCTGCGCCCCTGCGGGAGCAAGTCTACCTTATGGAGAAACCCACCGAACCTGGGCCCGCGCCCAGCGGTCACTTCAGCCCCTCGAGCTGGACTGCGGTTCTCTTCTAAGCCGGTACTTTCAACATAGAAGAAGGGCCTCTTGTGTGAGCGGGACACAGCTGTTTGTGGGTTTCTGTTCGGCGCTGCGGGGCCTGTCTGGGGAGCCCACTCTTTTCCCCAGGAAGTGCCACTCCCCCCATTTGGTTGGGAGATACCCGGGCATTCACCCCGCACAGTGGGTGCTCTCTTCTCCCTAAGGAATCCAGCGACAGGCCTGGGGCCGACGCCCTGTGACACATCCATTCCCCCTCCTGGGGGTTTCTCCCGGCCCAGCCTCCAAGGCCGCGGAGGCTCGCATTTGGTCACCCTTGACTAGGCTCCCTTGGCCTTGCACCTGGGCTGAGCTGTGGGTCACATGGTGTTTAGGCTGCTCTCTGCCCAATGACTGTAAACACAGTCACATGCTAAGAGGTTTTCTTCCAGTTACTTGGCTCAAACCCCAAAACACTGCCGAGTCACGCTGGGCGGGTCCGCATTGGGCTTCTCCCAAATTTTTTATTGAGGATAAATCTTGGCTCCAACAGGAGGCTACCTCCTTTCTGGGGTGAGGAGGGGTGGTCTCCGCGAGGGCTATATAAGGAAAGAAGCCCGCTGGGTGTGCACTCCGCCCGCTGAGGCCTGGGATCCCTCGGTGAGGCCGTGGGCTGGGCCTGGCACACGGGAGAAAGTCAGCTCTGAGACGGCCAGTGTCCCTGCCGGGCCCTGAGCAGACAAGTGGGAGGCATCCCGGCCTGAGGACACACTCCACTCCGTGGCCACAGCTTCCTGACCTGCAGCTCGGGGTCCAGCCTCTGCTGCCATCTCCCAGAATCGGTCCCTTTGCAATCTGAGGTTGGCCCTGCGTTTGGGAACCGTGCCCCCCACCCCATGCCTGGCGGGGGAACTCCCTCCCCAAAGTGGTCAGACTGGCCTACCTCCACACACCCTGCCTACATGCCCCAGCTGAGCAGCTAATCCTCTGGGTGTAGACAGGTGGCGGTCATTCCTAGCAGCTGCCTGTCGGGAATTTCACAGGAGAGAAAGCGCCTCAGCTGCCTTGGGCACACAGTTCTCCCTTAGAAGGAAGAAGGCCTGCCGCACGCGGACGCATTTACCCGAGTTGTTTTCTCCCTTTAAAAAGCTCAGGGCCACGGCCGGATAGAATGTCCTGTCTGCTCCGCCACAGGCGCCAGCCTCGGGGGCAGGGAACGCAGCCCCTGGGTCCTGGGGTCCCTCCACCCTGGGGTCAGGCGAGGTCCTGGGTCCTGGGTGGACTCGTTTACGTCATGATTACAGTCAGTTCTTTTTTGAAATGTAGACAGAACTGAGTATGTGTATACCGGGTGGGGAAAAGTAGGTTTACAGTTGTCTGCGTGTGAAAATTTGTTCTCGCCATTATTTAGTAGTTATTGTGTTGGAAAGTGATACAACTGTAAACCCACTTTTGCCCGCCCTGTGTCTGTACAACTTGATGACTTTTTCCTAAATCAGGAACTGGAGCTGGAAGTCCATCGGGCGTGACGTTGTGTGTTGGGTCGCCTGCTGCGGCATGAAGTGGGTTTCCTCTCCGCTGTTTCTGCACGGCCTTGCTTAGGGGGTGGCCAGGCAGCCTGGACTCTGGTGAACAAGCCCCCGTGCACACCACTCCCATGCCGTGTCCCCAGGAGGACCGGCTCTGAGACCTGATGCCCTGGTCCAGTTGAGGTGCTTGATGTGTACGTGGGGTCCAGACCCAGGTTGTTTTCTTAGAATCGTGGCCCCAGGGCCTTTGCTCAGCCGCAGAGATTCGGTGGTGTTTTTGTGGCATGAAGCCCGGCCGTCGCGTCTCGGGCGGTGAGCAGTGGTCAGCGTCTGCATTGCTTGAGCCGCGGCAGGGAGCCCCTGGCCTGGGCATTTACAGTGCAGGAGGGCGTGTGTTTACATCAAAGCCGGGAGGTTCATTCCTCCCCTGGAGATGCCCTCTGGGGAGCTCGGGAAGGTGTAGGTGGGTGACTCACCCCAGCGGGCAGGGACTGACTCCTCTGCTGTGCGTGTCCTGGCAGGTGGGTCCGATGGCTCCAGGCTGTACGACTGCGTGTGGAGGTACAACTCGAGCGTGAATGAGTGGACGGAGGTGGCGCCCATGCTCAAGGCCCGCGAGTACCACAGCTCCTCCGTGCTGGACGGGCTGCTGTACGTGGTGGCCGCGGACAGCACGGAGCGCTACGACCACACCACCGACTCCTGGGAGGCCCTGCAGCCCATGACGTACCCCATGGACAACTGCTCCACCACGGCCTGCCGCGGCCGGCTCTACGCCATCGGCTCGCTGGCCGGCAAGGACACCATGGTGATGCAGTGCTACGACCCAGACACGGACCTGTGGTCACTGGTGGCCTGTGGCCAGCTTCCGCCCTGGTCGTTTGCCCCCAAGACAGTGACTCTGAACGGACTCATGTATTTCATCAGGTGAGTCCCAGGGGCCAAGGCCACGGCGCGCTCTCACCAGGCCCCGTGCGAAGCGCATCGTCCCTGTTCTCGCCTCATGGACGAGGCCGGGTTGGGGTCCGGGGCTGGTCTTTCTGACCCGCAGCCTCTGTTCTGACGGCAGCTTCTGTGGCTTCCAGGTTTTCATAGTGGAGGGGTCCCGGGTGTGGTGGAGCGAGGTCCTTCCAGGGACCTTCTAGGCGCTAAATGAAAGGAGCCCTTTGCCTGGACTCCCACCTGGGGGAGCCCCGAAGGCCCCGGCTCCTCCCGCACGGCCTTCGCTGGAAGGACCCTGACCATCTGAGGGGTTCTGAATCTTAGACAGACCAGGGGACCCTTTGTGGACACTCGAGACTTTGGGGAACGTGTGGTCTTGACAGAACGACCCTTTGCTCACCGAGCAGAGTGTCCACCCCACTCAGGCAGGTGGGGGCCTGCCTCCAGGTGCCAGCGGCCAGGTGGCTGGACTGCCCGCTCCCTTGTCTGTGTCCAGTGCGCATTTGCCGGTTCTGGGTCTGTCCCCTCCCCTGGCCTGGCACCGGGAGGGCCCACGACTTTGGCCTAATGAATGCTGTTGTCCAAGGTCCGGCAGCCGCTCAGGATGGGAGGGAGCTGGTAGCAGGCTGCTGCCTGTGAGGATGGCGACAGTGGGAGCGCACGCTGGGGCCTGGGCTCGCCGAACGCTGTGCCGCCTGCTTCCCGGGCCGGGCGTTTGCATGGTGGGGCCCCATCGTGGTCCGTTTTCACAGGTGGCAAAAGGCCTGCAGGGTGGGGGACTTACTGCCACAGGCCTCCCGTGGTCGCACCAGGTGTGAACCGAGGGTGCCCAGGTCCCCGTGTGGAGCCACTGCAGCATGGCAGCACCCGCAGATCTCGGTGACTAGTCACTGCCACATGCCACCGCCTAATGGGCATCCCGGCACCAGCACCCCCTGCCCGCTGCGCACAGCCTCTTTGTGCTGTGTCCCTACTGCTCCCCTCCCTGGCCTGGAGCCATCCTGAACACACGGACCAGGAGGGAAGGGGGCGGTATGAACAGCACGCCCCTGTGTCCCCTCTGTCCCCCTTCGGGCTGGGGCTTTGAATTGGGAGCCTCAGAAGCTCCCCCCATCTGAGCTGCCACTCCCCTCTCCCCGGGCTTTCCGATGAGCATTCAGGCAGGTGGCCTTGCTTGCACGTGGCCGAGGGGCCAGGCATCTCCGTGGGCAGGAGCCTGGGGGCGGCTCTGAGAAAGCCCTGGAATGTCGCCAGCCCCGGGTCCTCTTACAGACACATCTGACCCCTCCCCCAGCTCTCCCTCCCTGAAGTCGGGGTGGGTGTCTTCCGAGGGGTGGAGAGGCTATAAATACAACTTATCAGCGTGCCAGCCTCGCAGGCTCTCCAGGCTGCATGCCTTTGAGAATGTCCTCCGCCCCGTGGTCCCAGGGCCAGGTGTGCCCAAGGCCGGGTCTGCGCGCTCCCCCTGGTCTCAGTCACTTGTCGTTACCCAAACGCCCCACGTGGGTGCCTCCGCATTGTTAGCCTTTGTAAGGGTTTACCTAAGTGTGTGGAGTGGGTGGGGGACAGCTCTGCCCCCCAGCCCCAGCCCAGCTGAGAGAGTGAGTGGTCAGGAAAGGCAGCCGGTTGTCCTTGGGTCTGGCTGTGACTCGCCTGAGTGCATGCAGCGCCTGGTCTGATGCACTTGAATGTTGGTCACAGAGCCACCCTGTCATGCCCTTTGGTGCCCCATGGACCACATGCCCCCTGCTCAAAACACTACCTATGGGGCAGCTCCTGAAGGTGTCTTCCCAGGGAGGCGGCTGCCGTGTCGAGGCACATCTCATGCCTGCTCCTGTCCTGGCTGTGAGCAGGGCCCCCCCCCTAGTGACCCCCCCAGCCCTGTCCACCTTGGTCCCCATTTCAGCGGCTCCTTGGCTGGGGGCCTGCAGAGGAAGGGGCTGGCAACACTGTCCCGCCTGGTCCCGTCTGGCTGCAGGGTGTGCATTGCTGCTCGGGGCGGACAGCCCGCTGGCTCCAGGATTAATTACCAGGGTATGTACGGGCCACAAAGTAGGAATGGCTTTTACATTTTGAAGTAACTTGAGGGGGAAAATCAAAGCTATTTTGTTTTTAACTATGTTTCTGTTCATTTCAGAGAGAGGAAGGGAGAGGGAGAGAGAAACATAGACATCTGTTGGCTGCCTCCTGCGCACCCTCAATGGGGATCGAGCCCGAACCCGGGTATGTGCCCTGACGGGCGCCTGGGTCAGTGCTCAACCACTGCGCCACCCCGGCCGGGCTAGAGTACCGTTTTCTGACATGTGAAAAGTGTGAAACGCAGACTTCTGGGATCCATGAGTAAGCTTGATGGAACCGGCCAGCCCCTCTTTACAGGTGCCCGTGGCCGCTATTGCAGGGCCTCACACACTCACCTACTGGCCCACCTGCCGATGCCTTGTCTGCGGTCCTTCTATTTTGGGGAGAGTTTGCTTTTCACGACTGTGTCTTGGAGCCTTTAATAAGGGTGACTCCAAGGGGAAGGGTAGCTCGGGGGCACCTTCCTTCCTGTAGCCGTGGTTCCCCTGCTGTGCACTGAGGACGCACAGTGAACGGGGTGGGGTAGGGGCTGACAGCAGAGGTGAGGCGGTGGTCGAGGATCTGTCGGGGCCGCGTGGGGGTGCGCGATCGCGTGGTCGGCCACGGAAGACTGTCCTGAAGAGGTGGCCCAAGTCCAAGCTGGAAGGACGAGTAGGAGGCGGGTGGGAAGAACCCCGAGAAGTTCAAGATCTGAAGCCAGTGTGGCTGCAGCGAGGGGAGGGCAGTGGGTTGGGTTCGTGCTGGGTGCTGGGGAAAGGGTTAGGCACCTGAGGGTTTAGGGAGGAAGGCTGGCTTTTGGCCTCGGGACCCAGGCCAGAGGTGGGGGTGGGGCCTGAAATCAGGGCTAGAGTCCAACTAGGTGATTATAAATATGTCTGTTTGCTCCACGGCCAGAGAGAGGTCCAGTTCCTGAGTAGGGGCAGCTGGGGATTGAGAAAATGAAAGAAAGAGACAAAGAGGTCGAAGGAAAAAGCTGGGGCCGGGTGGGACCACTGTCCTCTGATGGAGACAGGGACAGGAACCCAGAGCCAATACAGCGAGTTTATTTTCTACAGAAAAAAACAGGAAGTTTTACTAAAAGTCAAGACAAAGGAGATGATGTGCGTTCTTAGGGGACCCGAGTCGTATTCATTCCCGGTGCTTGGCTGGATTTAGATAATGAAACCCTCCCCCTGGCACCTGGGCTGAAGGTCAAGCTGACAACACTCCTGCCTTTTGGCAAAGTGTGTTTCCAGGACGTGGCTTTGCCGACGCCACTGGCTTCAGCTGCCAATAATTAAAGACATGCCCATGTGCCTTCCCAGGCGCTCTCCACAGGTAATGGGCTGTCAGATGGCACCAAAGAGTCCCCAAAGGTGAGGGGCTTGGAGGACCCTCCTCTGCAGCCCCTCCCACCCACTCTCCCCTCCTCCCCTCCACAGGGACGACTCCGCCGAGGTGGATGTGTATAACCCCACGAAGAACGAATGGGACAAGATCCCATCTATGAATCAGGTAAGTCTGCCTGCAGAGGAGGCATAGGCCGCCCTGAGGCACAGAGCATACTGGGGAAGAGTGTCCCCCAGAGACCGCACGTGCAAAGGCCCTGGGGCAGGGCGAGCCTGGTTCCTAGAACAAGGTCTCAGCTCAGTGTGGCTGGTGCCAGTGAGCACGCTGACAACAGCGGGGACAGGGTCAGACAGGAGGTCTTTGGGGGCTGACCTTGGTACTGTATTTACTGAGCGCCTGCTGTGTGCTCTGAGCAGGGCACCCACACGGTGCTGGTGCTGTTGCCTGATCGGGTCTCCCCTTCTCTCTGCACATTGAGGAGTGAGGTGCCGAGCCGGATAGTGTCATGGAGCCAAGAGGCAGTGGCCACTCGGGCAAATTTCCTTAGTCCCAGACCCACCTACCCCACCTGCATCTTTTCGGTCTTCCTTAACATTTCCACACCTGCTCTCAGGGGTACCTCTGACTGGCACGTGCCGCAGGTTACAACATCACAGCTTGACATCTTTATCCTTAAGAAATTAACTTTATGTTTTTCCCCAAAGTGAGCTACACATACTCATAGCAAACATGAGGAAGATCCCTAACTGGCTTCGCTCAATGGGTAGAGCGTCGGCCTGTGGTCTGAAGGGTCCCAGGTTCGATTCTGGTCAGGGGCACATCCCCAGTAAGGAGTGTGCAGGAGGCAGCTGATAGATGTTTCTCTCTCGTCAATGTTTCTAACTCTCTATCCCTCTCCCTTCCTCTCTGTAAAAAAAAAAAAAAAAATCAATAAAATATATTTTTTAAAAAACACGAAGATGATGGCCCAGCCGTGTGGCTCGGAGCTTAGTCTCAGGTCGTCCCAGAGGCTCAGTTCCCCGTCTGGAAGGTGGGAAGACCGGTCGCACCTGCCGTAGAGGCCGGTGCTGCTCCCAGGGAGACTCGGCGCCTCTGCAGCCCCCTGACCACCGCAGGGCCTGGGCGGGGAGCGCCTTTCCCGAGGTGGGGTGCAGGAAGGGTGCTGGCGGTCCTGGCTCCCAGCGTCACTTCCTGAAGTGTCGCGGCCGTCCCTCCTGAGGGTCCCAGGCGCCTTCTCCATGGAGTGGGACTGCAGGGGCTCTGCCAGGCCCTGGCTACTGCCGCCACTCACCTGTCGCCCTTGACCCACAGGTGCACGTGGGAGGCAGCCTGGCCGTCCTCGGAGGGAAGCTGTACGTCTCGGGCGGGTATGACAACACGTTTGAACTCTCGGATGTGGTAGAAGCCTATGACCCTGAGACTCGGGCCTGGAGCGTGGTGGGGCGGCTCCCGGAGCCCACCTTCTGGCACGGCAGCGTCAGCATCTTCCGCCAGTTCATGCCCCAGACACCCTTGGGTGGACGTGGCTTTGAGCTAGACAGCACCAGCGACATGGATGTGGGCCAGCCCCAGCGGCCACCGGAGCGCCCCCAGGAGCTGCACTAGCCCCGGCCTGGCCCAGGGAGGGCCTCGATGCAGTAACCCAGCACCTCGGGGGCGGCGACCCCCTCCTTCGTGCCTGAGGACAGGTGGGGCTCACCAGGCGGAACCTGGCTCTTGGGCTGCCGAGCAAGCCTCAGGGTCCGACACCGGGACCCACTGCATCTAGACCCGAGTCACAGCTGCGGCGCCAGTTGTGAACGGCCCTCCCTGGGCCCAGGAAGAGCTGCCTCCTCACCGACGGATGTCTGGCTCCCACAGGCCACCACCCCTGCGCCCCCCCCCTCCCCACTGTCACCCCCTTGCACCCACCTCCGGGGGAGGAGAGCCTCCGGGGCATGAGTGGAGGGGGTCAGAGTGGCTGAGGCTGCCTTCCTGCAGGCCGCACTGGGGATCAGGCAGGCGATGGCTGCATCCCGGGGCGCCATCTCCCGGATGAAGGGGGTCACGCACAGAAACATCCCCACGGGATGGGCCTCCAGCAGCTGAGCTCAGACCAGGGGCGCAGGGCGGTGGGACTGGTGTGGCCTGGGAGCAGCCTGGGCCTGCTGAGCGTGTCTCCGTGCGTCTGGGCTGAGCCTGATGTTGGCGTCGCTGCCCACCCACCCCACCAGCTGGCATGTCCTCCTCTGCCCTCCGCCCTGGCTCAGAGGCCTCTCCAGGTTCGACCCAATGCAAGAGGGTAGAAGCCTGCAGGTGCAAGGGCGGGCTCCTTCCGGGAGGCGCTGGGAGCCGGTCTTCGAAGCCCAGCCAGGCGGACAGTGCCCTCGCCTGTGGTCCGGAATCCTGCCTCGGAAGCAGCCCCAGGCAGTGTGGCTTCGTGGTTGCTTGCAAGGTTTGAAAGGCAGTTTGGCCCTAAGAGGCAGTGGGAGCCAGGGCTAGTGATTTGTGATCTGTCCACAGGCCTCTGCAGGGTGGCTTGGGGGTGGGATCCAGGAGGTCGGAGCCCCCGGGCTCGGCATGTCCCTCTGGTAGAGCATTTTCGTGGATTGCGTGGGCTTGTCCCTCCGGCCCCCGGCGCAGCTTTGCTGGAGTTGGTCTCCTGTCCAGTGAGGAAGGTATTTGCGTTTTCTCATGCGATAAATTGAAATGTTTGCTGAGCGGCCATTTCCGTATGTTCTCACCGGATGAAGGGGTTAGCGTCACTTCACAAATGCCACTGCAGACCCTTTCGTTGGCCGGTGGCACCGGTTCTGGGAGGAAGCCTGTGGCCTCCAGGGCCGCTGGCTGGGCCCTGCTGTGTGTGGTCATCGCGGTGGGTTAGATCTCGTGTTCCAGACACCTGCTGGGCGGCCACAGCTCACAGCCAGCCCTTGCCATCCCCATGGGCCGTCCCCACTGTGAGTCAGGCACTGTGGGAGGGCATGTCGGGGTCTGGGCATCAGAACGAGCCTTCAGACGTGTGCTCCCTGCCCTGGGGGCCCCCCGGCACAGGGTTCAGGCTGGGAAGCCCCCACCACTTGCAGATGAATGTACACTGACTTGGGGACCGGGGTGGGACTGTGGGGTGCACACCCTTGTATCAATCTCCAAGATGCATTAAGTTATGGGAGCTCGGGGGTGGCATTGAATGCCGACCTGACTACTCTTATTTATGACTCTAGTCACCCTCCCGTCGGCACCCAGGGCCAGCCCCAGAGGGCGGGTGGGTGTGCGTATTTATTGTCTGTTCTGGAGGCAAATGTCACATCCAGAATGCTGCAGTTTTAGGGCGCCTTCAATACTTTTTGAAATAAAAATGTTTCCTATACACTTGGTGTCATTGCCTTTACTCTGTTGGCACCTTGGGAGGCCACACGTATGAGGCGGTCCGGTGCTGGGCAAGGGGCAGAGTGAGCCATGCCAGGGCTCATGCTAAGGCCAGGGGCAAAGTTTTCCAGGCCCTTTCTCATCTTGAATGACTACAAGGTGTGAAGTGGAGGAGAAGGCCATGAGGTGTGAGGACTCAGCCGGCGTGTGTCCAGGCCTCCCTGCCTGCCTGTGGGCACCCGCCCTCGCCCCTCCCCCAGTCCAGCCTGATCCTCTCTGCAGTGGGTGAACCTGGGCCTGGGTGGGGGTGTCCGGGAAGGACTGATTCTTGGGGCCCAGAAGCACTCAGCTCTGCTGAAACGCAGGCCCTTCTGAACCCAAGGAAAAGGCCGGTGCCTGCGCCGGGAAGGGGCGCTTTGAGGCCATAGTTTGCCTTTTTAACGCTCCTGCTGTACAGCTGCCAGGCGGCTCATCATCTGGTGTCAGTCATTGCACTTGAACTCATTACCTGAGCTCCCCAGTGGCCAAGCAGTGAAAGATGGTGAGGTGGGTTCCTCAAACCCCAGGACTTGGCATGCTGCGGGGCCGTTTCAGGAACCCTCCAGGAAGGGTCTTCCGGTGTGACTCAGGCTCATAGGGTCACGACCATCACTACCACCTCCCAAATACCCCCCTGGGGGCAGCTGGAGGGAGGTGGAGGCGACACTGACTTCCAGGGCTCGGACTAGAGGCTGCAGGTTTGGCCTGTCGGAGCTCTTGCTGGTGCCCGCCAGCTGCCAGGCTCGGAGTGGCCGTCCTGAGAACAGCCCCAGCTCAGGGAAGGTCTGGGGGGTTGCTATCTAGCAAAATGGGGGCTCTCTCCCTTAATCCCATCTATGAAGCGTGTACTGTTAGTAATCCCATAAAAGACCGAATGAAGCCGTTAGTAACTTGCCCCAGGGCAGCGCTAACAATGCCTCCGCACCATGACGAGCAGCACCCACTCCTGTCCCCACGTCACAGGAGCAGGGGCTCTCACGCTCGGCCGGCCTTGTCTGCGCCCAGGCCTCCTGGACAACCTACCCACCTTGGGCCCTTTCCCCAGTGGTGTGCGGCCGGCAGGGTCCAGAGCTTGCTTAGCCATGCGCCGGCCTCCTCAGGTCCATCACGCTCGGCTGCACTCTCCCTGGGCGGGAGTCTTGAACCCGTGAGGCAGGGGGTGGAGGGTGGGGGGGCTGGCTGACCCCAGGGCTCAGGGAGGCATGTTCCTGTGGGATCTGCTCCCATGCTACAACCAACTGAACGAGGGATGGGAGACAGATGACTGCATCCTGGGCCACAGGCTTGGCCCCCAAATTCCCCACCAGGGTGTCCTCTGCTGAAGTCTGACCAGGTGGGAAGGGCTGGGCTCAGGTGCAGAGGGTCCTCTAGGGGCCGGGAAAGCGCAGCCTGGCGGCACCCGGGGACAAGCTGCTGGACGGGCTGAAACAAGCGAGTGAGTGCGAAGCCATGTGGTTTATTGAGGGCGCGGCACGGGCTGTGGTGGAGGCTACGAGTCACAGTCCTCGGGAATGGCAGCTGTGATGAGCAGCGAGGGCTCCATGACGCCCGGGAAGCTCTCCTCCGTGCACAGTCTCTGGGCAGGGAGCTGGGAGGCCAGGCCGCCCTGGGCCAGGGACTCCACGATGACCTCGGCCGAGCCCACCTCCAGCTCGGCCGGCGGCTGGAGCGCTACCACCACCACCTTCTCGTCCTCGATGACCAGGTTCCGGAGCTTTCGCTGCCGCGGGTTGTAGTTCTTCACGCGGTCGTGGATCTCCATGTGCCTCCGCAGGTGGGCCTAGGAGTTGGGGGGCTCAGGGCTGGGCTGGGAGGCCCGAGGTGGGGAGGAGGAGGTGACCCCTGGCCTACCTGCCGGGTGAACTTGTAGCCACACTTGGTGCACTCGAACTTCCTCACGCCCTTGTGCCTCCGGACATGCACACGCAGCTGCTCCACGGCTAACGAGGGAAGGGGCCCGCAGGAGAGGCATTAGCAGGGCGGGAAACAGGGAAGTGACGGGGTCCTGCCCTGAGCTGGGAGTCCTCTGGGTTTCCAACCGCTGCTTGGGGCCCTGCCATCTATAGTGCCTCCCGAGGTCACTACTGCACAGGACCCGGGAGCTGCCACCCCCTCCGCTTGAGGCGAGGATTAAATGAGAGCCCTGCTCCGTTATCACTGCTGGATAGCAGCCCCCAGACCTCCCATGGGGACTGGGAGACCCCCCGGCTCTGGGGGGCAAGCAATGCAGACGCCGGGCCCTCCCCTCCGCCAGGGCTTGCAGGGAAGGGGGGGTGAGGCACCTTTGAAGGTCTTGCCACAGATCTGGCAGAAGTGGGGGCGGCCCTCCTGGTGGCGGCTGGCCACGTGCCGCAGCAGCGGCCCCTTCTCGGTGAAGCGCTGCTCGCAGAACTCACAGCTGAAGGGCCGCTCGCCAGTGTGGGTGCGGTTGTGCTTGTCCAGGCTGGCTGTGGGGCGAGACGAGGGTCAGGCGCGGGGCCCCGGCCCGGGACGGGGAGGGCAGGCCGGCCTCACCTTGGGTGCGGAAGGTCTTGCCACAGAGGTGACACTGGAAGGGCTTCTCGCCCGTGTGTGTGCGCAGGTGTGTGTTGAGATTGGCCTTCTGGGTGAAGGCGTGGCTGCAGAACTCACAGACGTAGGGCCGCTCGTTCCTGTCCAGGTGGGGGACACAGAGGCCATCACCGAGGGAAGGGCCCCCTTCACACTACTGCAGCCCAGAGCCCCCCAGGCCCGAGCCAAGGAAACAGCAAGGCCTGGGCCAGCTGCCTGAGCCACTGGAGGGGCCGAGGCTTCGATGGGCGGCCTGGGGAAGGAGGGCCTGGGCAGTGCCAGCAAGGGGACGCCAACTCCTGACCAGGGAGGCACAGGGCCTCGTCTTAGCCTGGACTCCCCTCCCCCCAGCTGCCTGGCAAACTTGCTCGGCCCTCTGCTGCCCCTGCAGGCACCACACTCGGGGTGGGCGCTCTGACCCCAGTGTCAGCACTCTGCCTGCCGGGCCAAGACGGGCCAACCCCAACCTGTGCTTGGCCTTGGTGTGCATCTGCAGGCCGTTCCGGCTCGAGGCCCGGTGCCCACACTCCTCACACACAAACAGCTTCTCTCCGCGGTGCTTGAAAGCCTCGTGCAGCTGCAGTTCTGTCCGGGACAGGAAGCACTTGGCACAGGTGGGACACTGGGGCAGAAGGGGCCAGGCAGAGGGAGCAGGTAAGGGCTGGGCGGGGCTGCCCAGGAGCCCGCACCCCCCGGGACACCCCGCATGGCAGAAACCGCACAGCCACCCCTGGGGCAGCTACAGTCCCAGCGTCTGAGCGCGCTGCCCAGCCCTCGGCACCGCGCACTCACAGCGTGGGGCTTGGGAGCCCCGTGCAGCTTGATCATGTGGCTCTGCAAGTCCTTCTTCTGCATGAACTGCTGGGAGCAGGAGGAGCACTGGAAGACAAGGCCGCAGGCACTGAGGCCGCCCGCACCACAGCCCGGCCACCCCTGCACTGGGGGGACAGAGGGCAGGGCCCAGCCGGAGACACTGGAGGCCCCTTGACCTGGGTGACGCACACGCTGGGAAGGTGCCCCATACCCCACCCACAGGGATGCTGAGCCTGCCCTCTACAGAAAGAAACAAGGGCCCCAAAAGGACCAGTGGCCCAGCCTGAAGGTGTGGGGCCCTGGATGGGCAGGGAAGGTGGGCTCCTTGAAGCTGCAAGGGGAAGGCACCCAGGGGGAGGGATCCTGGGGCTGCCCCTTGGCCCACGGCCCTGGGGACGGGCTGAGCCTGACCTTGTAGGGCATCTCCCCCGTGTGGGACACCATGTGCACCCGCAGCTCCATCCTCCGGCGGAAGGTCTCCTGACACACAGAGCATGTGAAGACCTGGCAGTGTGAGGGGCAAGCGGGGCCGGCATCAGTGGGGCCTCTGCCCGGGCTTCCACTCGCTGCTGGGAAGAGTCTGCCCGAGGAGGGGGCCGCTAGGGTGGGAGAGGGCAACACGTAATCTGCCTGCCCTGACCCTGACTGTTCAAACCCTCCACACCAGGCCCCGCTCAGGCCCGGCAGGCTGGGGGCAGGGGCCGGCGGCCTTCCCTGCAGCCCTGGCCTGGCAACAGGCCTCTAGGAAGACAGGGGCAGGATGTGGCTGCCCTGCCACATGGCCCGCCAGGGGGTGAAGGGAGTGGCCAGGTGGCCTTTCCCAGCAGGCAGCCCCCCACCAAGGTATCCCCTCTCCAAAGCCCAGGGGCCCGGCAGGCAAACCCCAAATGCCTCCTGGGCTGTCCCTTCCACTCTTGGGACCTGTGTCCCCACCTGTAATACCAGGCAGCCAACTTGAGGGCATCTAAGAACCATGCAGCTCTCGCGCTGACCGTCCCATCTAAGTCTGCGGGCCCCTCTCGGGGGCAGGACGGAGGCCACGTGCCCCGCCCACAAGCACCTGGGCCAGCCACGCACCTGCTC